ATAATTTTTCGTTCTTTTTTAAGAGGCCTTAATTTAATCACTCGAAATTCAGTGGTAATTGGGAGGAACAATTTGAAAATTGGCATCCGAATCCTAATTATAAGAAATATTGGAATCGTCCAATTATTAATAGAAGCTCCATTTTTTTAAATTCTTTGATTAAATTTTTTTAATTTTTCTGCAATATTTTTTTAATCAAAAATTAAACACACCCTTACGTCAATCTCTGAGGAATGGAGGATTTTCTGTGAACAATTGGTACCACCAATATATTCATAGTACACTAATGTACAATTATTATTCCTATTCTACCTTATAATACTGCTAATTAAAATACTTGAAGTATTGCTTGTTACTAGTACTTTTTCGGTGATATGTTCATCGGCCAAATATCCGATCGACCAATAAAAATAGGTACCTCCACGAGATCGCTAAAAAAAGAGCATAGTATGATGAAAAAGACGCCAAATTTGACACCCAAACATCCCAATGTACTACCGGAGAGTTAAAAATAAACTAAATTTAAAAAATGAAATTTCGATATCTGCCTATATCACTGAGATGAGGTATTATGATTACTTGCATTGTTTATATTTTTCGGACTGTTATCCTCATCTTCATTGCCATATTCACAACATTTTGCCCGTTGGAGAAAGACTTTAGTTAGATCCAGTGAATAGACCCAAATATCTGTCTATATCTCTGAGATGAGGTATTATGATTACTTGCATTATTTACATTATTCAGACTGTTATCCTCATCTTCATTGCCATATGCACAACGTTTCGGCCTCTATATCTCTGGGATGAGGTATTATAGTTATTTGCATTATTTACATTATTCGGATTGTTATCCACATCTTCATTGCCTTATTCACAACGTTTCTTCAAGTGATTGGAATTTCAAATCGAACCCTTTATTTTGTCCACCGGGGTAGAGTCTTCTAGTTCTACATGCTATGCCTCTTCCGGATATCTCAGTTATTTCCCTTTAACTCAACTATCCAAAAGTGCCAATCCCCTAAGTTAACTATAATAACGGATAGTTTATCAGAACAGTCACCATGAAAGTATTTATAGAAAAGGCAGAGGGAAGATACGCTACGACAACACCACTGCTGTGGCCTGGTATTGAACTTACAATTCTTTGGGTTTAGCTAATGGATCTAACAAACGTCTTTATCCACTAGGCCATGTTCCCTTGAAATTCCGAATGATAAGCTTCATAAAAAAACTTACGTGTGCTTTTGAAGAAGTTATAACGGCTGTAATACATGTAGCGTCAATTAAAGAATCCGGATACAGAGGTCGTGTTATTTGTGAATTGGAACGACTTAATCCTTCTCATTTCAACAAACCTTCATTCCAATATTCTTTTATTTCCCATGAGAAACACGAAGACGTGCGGTTTACGCGTCACATAAGCGAGAAAACCGCAATGTTTTTTTTGCCGTTTATTCTTCATATCGCTTAAGGTACTCAGCTGAAATAAAACCTGTTTGTCTTACGCGTACGGCAATTTTACTTCCCGTTCGTCCGTAAAATAAACTTTTGCTAAATTAATAGCAAAAAGAAGAGAACGACAACATGAAAATACAGGGGAAAAAAGAGACGAAACGGTGTATAAATATATTCAATTCCTAAAACAAACATGAAGACGAAAATCTGTTCAATGATTACCTCCCTTTCTTTAGCGAACTCTTCAACCGTTTTAAAACTTTTTGTCTCGTAAGTTTAAAGATACAAGCCAGATTTTCTACATCTGTTAGAAACATTGTATGTTTCTGCGTCTGTAGCAGACCCCCTGGAGGGGGCGCAATAGGAAACCACGACTCGAGTGCCCCCGTATCGTAGATAGATGAAGTCTCCAGAGGCCCGCTAACGTTTTTCGAATTAATGACGTGAAATCTGACAAGGGGAAACAAAACAAAACGACGATATGTATGCTTAATTCTAAGTTTATTTATAAAGAGAAGAAGAGGCTGTGCGGGTACTGGATGCTGAGTTGCGTTCGTTCCGGTCGTGTCGACGGTTGGAGTCGAGGTGCAGATATTCCGGTCGTGTCGATGGTTGGACATTGAGGTCGACAACGGGATGCTGAGTTGCGGACGTTCCGGTCGTGTCGACGGTTGGACGTTGAGGTCGATGACGAGATGTTGAGGTGCGTTCGTTCCGGTCATGTCGACGGTTGGACGTGGCAGTGCAGGCATTGCTGGTCGAGGTCGAGGTCGGTGTCGGAACCCCGCTGCAGGTGATTACTGCTGGTCGTTGCAGGTGATCGTTGGTCGCTTCAGGAGATCGCTGCTCGTCGTCGCAGATGATCCCTGTTGATCGTCGCAGGTGATCGTTGATCGCTTCAGGTGATCGCTGCTGGTCGTCGCAGGTGATCTTTGGTCGCTTCAGGTGATCGCTGCTGGTCGTTGCAAATGATCGCTGCTAGTCGTTGCACGTCTATTCTTTAGAGTTGTCTGTTCAAGACAACCGCTACTCTAGTAAACAGTACTACTGGAATACGAGCGGCTAACTCATACTTCTTGTATTCGCAAGTAAGCGACTCAATATGCCACCTAAAAATGTATGGGCAGACATGTTTTGTTTTGTTTTTTTGATGTTTTTTTTTCATGCAACCAATATCTTACTCCAACTGTCCCACATCGGCGCACCTTCAGTTGGTTCAAAGAGTTAGTGTAGATGTACGCGCACGAAACGCTTCATTTTAAAACTTCAATAGATTTAGACTTTATCTGACACTCCTGCAGCCCCTCATAAATCTTAAATATGGCTGATGCTAACCTCCAGCATAGCAACTCATTACGCCTTGTTGGTCTCACGTTTTCTACTGACATGAAGAGGAGCCATAATATGGAATCTATTGTTAGGTATGCTGCTAAGAAAGTCAGCTCAGTGTCGTACCAATTTTTCTCGTCAGAATCAATCTTGCGCATTTATAAATTTTCCATTCCTCCGTACATTGAATATTGCTGGCATATCTACTCTTGTGTTCATGCTATATATCTCGAGATTCTCGACAAAATCCAAAAAAGGGTCTGTAATTTTATAGGTCCTAACCTGGCATCCCGACTTCAGAATTTTTTCCACCAACGTGCTGTGGCTTCCCTCTGTCTTTTCTATAAACAATTTAATGGCATTGTTTCTTATCAGCTTTCTTCATTGGTAATACGACCGCATGAATTTAAGCGTACTACTATATTGGAAACTAGTTTTCATGTAACGGTAAACTCTATTCTAATAGTTTCTTTTCTCTCACTTCTCACCTGTGGAACACTTATCTGATTTCATGCCCAATGCCACTTACAATCGTTGTTTTCTGTTTTCCTGAATCCTGTTCTTTTATTGTCCTTTCTCCTCACTAAAGCCTTTTCATTCTCTTCCACTCCGCGTAAACCCTTGCGTCGTAGTGACAATAACGCCTGGCTTCGGCTAAAATTATTTTAAAAAATACTTCTGGTTGGTTAATATCTAAGTATGAACCATTGGTTTTCAGAACAGCATTCGAAATTTAGTTTTAGGCAAAAAGAAAAGGAGTATTAATTTTTGAATGATTTAATAACCATATATAGAATATATAAATTGAATGAAGCAAAATAATTGTAATGTTGAAAGCAATAGACTTATGTCTCTGAATTGAATTATGCCACTCTGTATGCTGATAGTTACGTACTTATTTACGTGTATATAGATATGTGATTATAGGTAAACGAAATCGATAACCGGATTGTGATTTCAAGATGGAGAAGGGGGACTTCAATTTAATGCACGGTGTCACGAGAGATCAGTCAATTAAGGAAATAAAGAACAAAAAAGAAATAAACTGAACCATTAAAAAAAAAACTGATATATTAGCAACAGATATATAGACAAATAACTAGCTAGCTAGCTAGCTAGCTAGCTAGCTAGATAGATAGATAGATAGATAGATAGATAGAAAGAAAGGAAAAACGAAAGAAAGAAAGAAAGAAAGAGACAAACAGAAAGAAAAGAAAGGAACAGATTGAGATAGATAGATAGATAGATAGATAGATAGATAGATAGATAGATAGATAGAAACACACAGACAGATATATAGAAAGAAAGAAAGAAAGAAAGAAAGAAAACGATAGATAGATAGATAGATAGATAGATAGATAGATAGATAGATAGATAGATAGATAGAAACACACAGGCAGATAAGTAGAAAGAAAGAAAGAGACAAATCGAAAGAAAGAAAGAAAGTAAGGAACAGATTGAGATAGATAGATAGATAGATAGATAGATAGATAGATAGATAGAAACACACAGACAGATAAATAGAAAGAAAGAAAGAAACGTAGAAAGAAAAAAAGAAACACACATACAGATAAATAGAAAGAAAGAAAAGATAGATAGATAAATAGATAGATAGATAGATAGATAGATAGATAGATAGATAGATAGATAGAAACAGACAGACATATATATATATATATATATATATATATATATATATATATATATATATATATATATATATGTATATGATTGGTATATATGGAATGAATTCCAATAACCAACAAATACTATTCTTAAAAGTGTGCTCAATACAAAGTAGAGCAGATATAATTATTTATTTAAAAAAGAAATTTATAACATAAATATGTTATGAAATCACTACAAAAATAGCCATTTTGTTCCAACACCCTCGGTGTCTTATCAAGTGATGATGTTGAATGTAAAATAAATGGTTTTAAAAGTTTCGAATTAATTAACAATCCTTCACAAGGGGAAAACGTTGTTACAAAAGCTAGATTGACCAATCAAAATACAAGTATAGGAAAATTCAAAAAGCTTGACAACGAAGTCATGTTATAATAGCTATTCAGATGTTTAAAATATGGGTAGTGTTAAAAAAGAATTTATTCTAACCAATAGTTACTAAATTATATGATAAAATTTAATATTATAATTAAAAACTGCTAATTTCAAAATCAAAATTTAATCGCTATTAAGTTTACAACTATAAAATTACTGAGGAGAAAAGAAGAAATATAAATGTTATTCAATTTATTTCTTCCTAAACAAACACAATCAGATTATAATATATAAGCACCCAGACATATTTAAATATATATACACACACAAAAAGAGACGAGACAGAAAACATCACCACGATCGTTTAAGAAAAAAAAAAAAAAAAGAAAAAAGGGGAAGTGGGGGGGAAAGGGAAACCAACACACACGTACATACATACACGATTAAAAGTGAATGCACTTTCCATACACATAGACAATTATAAATACATGCACACACATCCACAGACATTGACCCAGACAATCGGATACAACAACCAATAAATATTTAAGACTGAAAGTGTCATTACACAAATGCTCACAACTTATTGAAATATAACTTAAGCGAGCAAATATACAAAGATAAAAATGATTAAAAATAATATTATTTAATATATTAAAATAGTGTATGTAAATATAAAATCGGACATCAAAGTCAACACCCATATGTAACTTCGATGTCCACCTCAGATATATATATATATATATATATATATATATATATATATATATATATAAAAGAAAGAAATAGATAGATAGATAGAAAAAAAAGAAACAAACAAGCAGATAGAAATAATGAAAGAAACAATTTGAGATAGATAGATAGATAGATAGATAGATAGATAGATAGAAACTGATGTAGATACATTGGTAGATAAGACTAAAGATAAATAGATCAAATATATTAAGAATTTTCATGGTGTATTCTCTTGATTATGATCTGTTGAAAAATTGTTGCTTTTCTTTGTATTATTTCACCCCAAGCAATGCAACAAAGCCACCAGGATTAAAGAGGCTGCAGAGGAAGAAAGACAATTGAATGAAGGAAAACACTGTGAGCGAAGTAAAGGGTTCAGTTCGACATTCCAACCACCTGAAGAATGCCGAAGCGTACAACGGCCGAAATGTTGTAATAAATATGGCGACAAAGATGAGGGCAATAGTCCGAATAATGTAAATAGTGTACATAATACCTCATCTCAGAAATATAGACAGATACTGAATAGCCGAAACGTTGTAATAAATATGGCGACAAAGATGAGGGCAATAGTCCGAATAATGTAAATAGTGTACATAATACCTCATCTCAGAAATATAGACAGATACTGAAAGGCCGAAACGTTGTAATAAATATGGCGACAAAGATGAGGACAATAGTCCGAATAATGTAAATAGTGTACATAATACCTCATCTCAGAAATATAGACAGATACTGAAAGTCCGAAACGTTGTAATAAATATGGCGACAAAGATGAGGACAATAGTCCGAATAATGTAAATAGTGTACATAATACCTCATCTCAGAAATATAGACAGATACTGAGAGAAGTGCCAAAGAAAAAACTATCAGAATAAAACTGGCGGTTCCATCTAGCAATTTCAACAGTAAAATGGTGAAACCTAGGGTTAAATAATAGTTTAGCAGACCTATTATTTTTAGGGGGAATGGTATCGCTGCTCGGACTTCCTGACCTTAGAAGTGTGATGGAAGAGAAAATAAGGAAGTCGATTTTGATTGACTGAACGAGCGTGGGAATGATATATATATAGCAAGATTTTTCAGGGACTTTTTCTTAACTCTTAAGCAATGTAAACGTGGTCACTTTCATGTCTAAAACGGCTCCTCAGTGTAGCAAAGCGACCCCACTTTATAGTTAGAGATGTATAGATCGACGTTAATAACATAGCTAAATTAAAATTCCCTGTGTTGAAATTCTTTTATCTCTGGACTCAAAACAACTAGCGATCACAGGCCGAGAGAGAAGTATGTAACTTTATTATCGAATGGACCTGCCCAGCACGATGGGGCTATACAACACTAGATGCCAATCTATTACTAAGTTAAAATTCATGAAGTTAAGGCAATTATAGGAAAGTCACAGAGAAGTGACGTTTCCAGTGGTGATAAAATGATCGAAGCTTCGATGCCAGGTTAGGATCGATAATATTGCAGATTCTTGTTTGGATTTTGTCAAGAATCTCTGGATTAAGCGAGGCATACACAAACACATGTTTGATCGCAAAACCATTCAAACAATGTCTTGCTTAATGCCATTAATAATGACTATGCTGAATTACAAGAGATTAGCCAATATTAATAAAACGGTTAGGATCCTGAAACGGGTATTGCAAATGGTAGGCTAGATCTACTACGGTCTGGTCTGAAATGTCTTTCAAATAAATCCGAGGAATAATTGAAATCAAATAGACAACAGTATTACATAAATGGAGGAGAATATAGATTATTACAGGGTTCCATAGATCTCTAGGCAGAGCCGTAATTGCTTTTCAAGACGGAAAATAGCTATTTCCCTACCAGTAACAGCTTGCATCTTAGTGGTCTCGGCTCGTTGCTAGGGGTGAAATGATTAAACAATCATGATACTCTAAAAGTTGATAACAAGGGATCAACACAGTCAATGCCAATACATCCATTTGTTCTGAATTTATTGTTTTCCTTATCTTAGACTGGCTGTCATCCTAGGCTAAAATACCTATGCTGGCTTGTTATTTAAATCGATGGAGGGACAAGGGATTGGTTCCTGTTTCTCCTGGGGAAAATGCTGAAAGGAAACGCAAGTAGCTCGATCGGAATACGAACTCGTTTTGCTGATTCTCCAGCGCCTGATCAGCGTTACGCCACCCGATCTAGAATTTCGAAAAGACTTGCTGTCACTTGATATCCAGAAAAAGCAAATAACTCGTTCATCATCATCATCATCATCATCATCATCACCAGTCCCATAATCGACTGCTTCAATCGCCGGCGGGGACCTGAGGGCAGAAAAAAAACAGACAACCTCCACCAGTCCGGTCTTTTGGCGGTAACTCTCAGGAGTTCCGGCACTGGTCATGTCTGTCCATTCTTTAGAGGGTCGTTCCAGTCACGCCCATTTTGTGACGCTCATCTTGGAATGAGTCAATGGGACGCGCGGTCGTTGTTGCTCTTCTCAATCGTGATTCTTTTAAGAGGGTGGTGATTTCAGATGGCTTGGCGGTGCACATCTCCTCACCGATGACTAGTTGGATAATTTGTATAAGGATATATGATACTATGCTCCCAATATAATCCCAGTTAGCAGTTATTTACTGGAACACATTTGAATGCTGAATATAGTGCGACGTCTCTCTTTCACACGTACACACACACGCGCGCACACGCAAGCACAAAAGCATCGAACTGTTATATAAGCTTCAACTTTCCATCAGTGATTCTCCACACCGTTTTTTCAGAAAAGTTCTTTACCAAATGCGATACACCTAAGTGGTTCTTGAAGATTAATTGTCTAAACGAAGTCAAAACCCATTATCATATAAATTTTAACGACGATACTTCATAAATTGCATTCACTCTTCAAGAACTGTGCCAAAATAAGGACACATTAAGTGGAAGAATTTTAAAAAAATCCTCTTCAATAAAACTCAACATCATATTTACAGACATATGTGCCAAGGGGTAGATTAATATTGAACAAGGTACTCCTGGTTGACCAGTATTACTGCCGTCCAGGGTATGACGATAAACTACATCCAACAGCCAGGAGGTTTTGGGGATTAATTGATGGTGTTCCCAGGTCCACCCTGACACGGGGTGGTAGCACCTTTTAGGGTCCCAGCTATGGGTAAATAGTTAACCTCAAACTGGGGTCAAAGCACTACGAAAGTGTAAAAATAGATTTTAATGCCAGCAATGAATTTTTGGGGAAAAATTATTACTAACAATACATTATAACATTTTTGAAAAATAAATTTTACAAGCAATATATTTTTGAAAAAAAATATTACCAACAATACATTTTTGAACAAAAATTATTACCAGCAATATATTTTTGAATAAAAAACCAGCAATATATTTGAACAAAAATATTACCAGCAATATATTTGAACAAAAATATTACCATCAACAAAAAATTTTTCGGCATTAAATAACCCATTCATGTTGATATAACGTAAAACAAAACCAAACAACTATCACTGAATTCGATCCTATGTGTTATATACCGTCCTATGAACATTAATGGGTATGTCCCTATCCTTATAAATACGTTAGACACTATTGTAAGTGGGGGTAATATGCTGTCTATGTAGTCCACCACTTGGAGTGGTTTACCTACTTCAAGCCGCTGGCGAGTATTGTATTTTGTTGACGTTATAAAGATTACCATTTCATTTCCAACCGCCGTTTTGGTTATTCATCATTTAGTATCATTTCCTAAGTTAAAAAAGAAAGAAAGAAAGAAAGAAAGAAAGTGTTATATACCGTGCCTACGAACGCTAATGGCTATGTCCCAATCCTCATAAATACGTTGGACGCTAATGTAAGTGAGGTAATATGCTGTCTTGATAGTCCACCATTAGTAGTGGTTTACCTATTTCTCGCCGCTGGCAAGTATTGTATTTTGTTGATGTTATAGTGATTACTCTTTCATTTCCCAAATCCGTTTTGGTTATTCCTCATTCAGTAACCCTTTCTAGGTTACAACACTATGTTGCTATAATTTGTGGCCTTGTTACAAAACTAATTTAAGATTTGTAAATTATAACTATAACAGTGGGTCTTAAGAAGCGATAAGATTTAACGGCTAGTCTGGTTGGCCATTGACGTGTTGCAGCTATGACCAGACATTAGGTTCGTTCTGAGGGTGCTGCTTCTTCCAGTCAAATGGCTGTGGCTTAAAAATAACTCTTTGGCCAGATCGTCACTCACGAAATAAATCCAAGAGCTGGGGCAACTTTATTCGGTTGTAACCATCGGCTCTAGACGAGCGAGGCAAGGGTGAGGCGTGTTAAAGAGGCGAGCATTCAAACGAGCGTGTCTTTTTCGCATCGCGTCCAGCTGCCTCTTGTCTCTTTTTGCGCCTTTCTTTTTTGCTGCTAGGAACCACTGTCTTATATAAAACAGCGCACAATCGTCTTAGAAGCTCTGTCTAAAATAGTCATTCTTCAAGAACTAGGGGTCTGGCTTCACTCAGTGACCATCTTTGTCAGGACCGTTTGACCTGTTTCTTGGGAGGTTCATTCCATTAAGATAACTGCCTTTGCCAAAGCAGATATTTTTCAAAGCGATTTCTGTAACTGTTTGCAGGTAGATCTTCAGCAACATATCAGTTGACAGCTGATACTGCGACACTATTATTACTAAGTAGTAACTTCAATCCTTACTGGATTCTCAATAAAATAGGCCTTGTGCGAAACGAAGTTTAGTAAATTTACAATTAGGTATTTCGGAATGAGGTAACGGTTAACGAGCTAATCCGGTTGGATATGAATACCAAGTAGCGAGTTCTATCCGCATACTTGTGGTCTTTTATCATACTAAGTTAAGTTTAGTAAATTACAAGAGAAGACATCGAGATGAAGTAATGGTTAACAAGCTAGTCGAGTTGAACATTATTACGGAGTAATAAGTTCGATCTTCAGTTGGTACCACATACATTTAGCCCTGTCTCAAACTAAATTAATTTTAATCATTTTACATTTGGGATTTTCGGAATGGAGTAATGGTTAACGAGCTACTCCAGGTGATTACTGAGTAATGAGTTCCATCCTCACTAGCCTTGTGATAAATGATACGATTTGTAAACTACAACAGTGGACTTCAGGATTGGGTGATGGTTTATGAGCTAGTCGAGTGGAACCGTATTACTGAGTAAGGATCTTGATGTCTCATACTCGCAGCCTTGAGAAAAGAAAGAAAGAAGAGTAAGGGAAAGTGAATGGAATAAAGGAACAGCTAAGCTGAGTAAATAACGAACTATGGAAGCTAGACATGCAGAAGGTCGAAGAACACATCGACTGAAGTGATGTAACCAGAACGAAAAATAAAAACGAAGAAAATCGATTGTGAATGCGGAATAGAGAACATCTTTCGTCTTAGAACTCTGGACAACACAGAATATGGCTATTGGTTCACTAACTTGTCAGAATGTGTTGGTAGTTTAACGGATATCAATACGGAATCGGTTAGACTAGACGGCTAGTCTACGGCGTCCGCTTACGCACTAATGTCTTCTGGAACGACATGAATACCTCTTGCCTCCATTTTCACTGACTGATTGGTTGTTTGGTTTTGTTTTTTACGGCTTGTCAACCTTTTTTGGGTTATTTAAAGCCGAGACATATTTTGGATTGTAAGAATAATTCTTTATTCTTGCGAGTGAATATTTAATTAATATTATTTGAGAATAAACAAGGATCTTCCGAGATACAAGAATTACTATTTTTAACCCAATGTTTAGGCTCTCCTCTTCCATTTATGGCAAATTTGATTATCTATTCTTAGCTGACATTTCAGGGCTAGTCTGCGGCGCTTGCTTATGCAATAATGTCTCCCGCAACGGCATGAATCTCACCAGTCTCCTTTTCCATTGACTGAGGTTAGTGCGAAAGTGAACGCAACAGACGAGGCCAGAATCTTGTATTCGGTTCGTCGATATCCGTTTCTCTATCCGCACATCCGGACAAGTTTAGAAAAATTTAACCATTGATTATTTAATTACCATTAATTTATTAAATTTTATTATTATCGATATTATTATGAGGTTAAGGGGGTCGGTGTTCTTTTTGACAACAAAACGAGTCTCTTCAAAATTCACCCACGATTCTTTTTCAGTCGTTCATGGTCAAGATAAATTCGTATATATATATATATATTTCATTGATCTCCCAGTAAATAATATAAAAAAAATAAGTAAACACCAACAAATTTCTTCCCTTCTCTTTAGACTTTTTTTAATCAGAATAACCAGAAGCCTTATCAACTAAAAGAATAAAAAAAGAATATATGTGGAAATTCCATACCAACTTTTTTTTTCTTTTAAGTGCCAAAAGAAAAACAGTTTTTTTCATTTTTCTTTTCAATTAACCAAGAATAAAAACATTTCCCAAAAACATGGAGTCGTAATCGATACATCTAATTTCTTTTTCAACATCTTCTACGGCGGACTAATTTTTTGTTACTATCGTCTGATTTATTCAATTTTTTCACCGCGAAAAGATTGTTTAACAAAACGACCAAACAACAAAAAAGACAATTTATTTTATAAAGCAAGTATTGTTTTTTCAACCCTTAAAAATAAGTTTAACACGTTACTCTTTATCTTTGAATAAATTATTTTTTTAAATCGAATGATAGCATTTTGTTTGCAAAAAAACATTCTTTAATTATTAAATATCACGCCTTCATATATGCCTTATTGACATTTACAAATAACAACAAAGATTAAATGCTATAAAAAATTTCTCATGAAATTCGATTGTGCGTTGAATATGACAAATGATAAGGTCATCGGTTAAATTCGGATAAAACTGCTGTTTTAAAAATCGCCAATCAATTAATGGAATAACAAGGCCACATCGTAAAAGCCAACACACTTTGCCATTTTACAAGGCACTACTTTAGGCAAAAGAAGAGAGAGAGAGAGAGAGAGAGAGAGAGAGACAGGAGAAAGGGGAT